TATATATATATATATATATATAAAATAACTCAATTTAATATTATTGAGTATTTAGTCGTGTGATGAAGTAATAATAAATTGAATCAAACGAATCAAAAAGACTTGAGAGATAATAATATTAAAATTTTTAGCACTTTACCATATGTTAAAAACTTTACAGAAAAATTTCAAAATGTTTACAGAAAGTATAATTTGAATATAGCATATAAATTCGTTAAGAGTTTAAATAAATTTATTAAAACAGAGAAGAATATGTTAGATAAAATGGATAATATCAATGTTGTATATAAAATTAATTGTTGTAATTGCGATTGCTCTTATGTCGGACAGGCAAAAAGAAAATTAAAAACTAGGATTAAAGAACATAAAGCCGACATTAGAAAATCTAATAATCATTCTGTTGTTTCTCTGCATCAACTTCAGTATGGTCATCAGATAGATGGGAAAATATCAATATTTTAGATTCAGTCATATCAAAAAGCAGGAAAATGATATTAACAATCAGAATGATACAGAAAAATTACCTAACATCTATCTACCTATTATTCAATCTCTTTCTTAACTTTGTTTCTTTTCTTCTTTTATTACATAATTTTAATTTTATAGTAATAAATTTTGGTCACTCATTTATGTAAATGCTCTTCCTAATTTTGCCCCAATAGAATGTTTTTCCTTCTTACATCACATTTTTCCCCTTCTCTTTAAATTTGGATGTCTTCTGGTCTGAGGTATATATGTCTCTGCGTTCAACTGGAGGGAACACTTTACGATAATTTTTATAAGAATAACGAGATAAGGATATATCTTCCATTATCGAATGATGTTACGAGTTTTCAAGATATAGGTGAGATTATAGTTTTTACACTTTTTAATATTGTTTGTAAAACGTTACGACAATATCTAATTGGGCATATACATTTTAGTTTGGTAATTATATCTTGATGTTAACTGTCCTTATAAATAATATTGTACATTGGAGGAATTTTCTTATCAATCGATAATTTCGTCACACGACTAAATACTCAATAATATTAAATTGAGTTATTTTATACATTGACAATTTAAAAACTTTATTATATCTACTAATTGTAACTGTTATTTCGTAATTGCTTATATCTTTATAAGTTTATATATTGTGTTTATTTATACTGAACATGGCCACATTCAGGGCCGAAACGTTTATACTTTGATTAATTGTAACTGACATAATTATCGTAATTCTTTTAATTCTATATACGAATATATTAATGATATTTCAATAACAAGATCTAGTGTGTGGCATATGCTCAACCGTTTTTATTGATTATATATAAAATTTATTAAAATTTATCTGGTGAAATTTAATTACCTTCACCTTTTGGTACGCTAGTTAAGAGTACATTCTAGTAACCACACTAAAAATAAGTGGTTTCTGGAATTTTTCATATAGAAAACTATAAGACGTACGATTCTAATTTTTCACATATTTTCACATATTATTAATACAAATGTCAATATATGAAAAAATTTTTTACAGTGGTATCTTAATTTCAAAATTCCACGAAATTAGTTGAGAGTCGCAGAGTTGAAAAAATGAGATGACCAAATGATTGACACGATATCTCGAGAACTAATAGCCAGAAATAAAAAACAAAATTTTTTCTTAAAATTTATTTGCGTGATTATCGCGTAAATTGGAATTATTGAAAAATATTGAAAATTCGCGAGTTGACGTGTTTTTAGAACGTGATGCAAAAAAACACTTTTATTTCAATCAAAAAAGTTGGACAAAAAATTTCATTTTTAGTGAAATCGGTTTATTTTATTTTACGCGGTAGCTAATCAATCTACCAATACAACGCCGCAAGAATTTTTAAATGGGTCAGTTAGTTTTTCTAAAATCGCGTCAACCGACAAAAAAACAACGTTTCGAGAAAAGGGCGTTTAAGTCTAAATTCATAAAGATTAAAATTATATCGGATACCGAAAACATCCATTTTCTGGCAAATATAGAAGCGGAATTCGGAAAAAGCCCTCGTAGCGCTTGTAAGAAGAGCAAATGCGAAAACCTGACTGGTGATTGGTTTGGCAAAATAATAACGGATACCGAAACATCTATTTTCTTGCAAATAGGAGCGGAAGTTGGAAAAAAAGCCCACGTAACGCTTGTAATGCTGGATACACATTGCATCCGATTTGCGTCGTACGACGCTCTGCAACCAATCATTAAACAGGATGATATGGAGCAATATCCTGTTTTCTGATTGGTTCAAGAGCGTCGTACGACGCACATCGGATGAAGTGTGAATCCAGCAAAACACCTGCCGCGCACTGTTGCCTCCTGACAAAGTGGATATGAACTACATAGCAAGGTCCACTTTTCTGAGGGTACATGCGTCCACTTTTCAAGGTTGCACGTGATAAATCAATATTTGATTCGTGTATAATGCATGCTGTATACTGTTATAATATTTATATTGTGATTTAGGCGGGTCGCGGCAACGAAAATCTCAGTCGGTCAATCCGCCATTGATCTCCCCCACCGTATAGAAAATACGCGGGAAAATGCGATTTTGTTCCACACGCCTAATCACTTTCATATTTTATAATAACATAAAATCAAATTTACCTTGATGCGCTCCAATTTTCTGCGTCGTATCGATCAATACGAGATAAGAGCGGCTCTTTAGCCAAAAGTCCGCTCAAGCTTTGACTTTTTATATTTCACTTTATTCAGGTATAAATGTTTCATGAACTGTTTTTAACAGTTGTACTTTAATATTTTTATGCACAGAATAATGAATTAAATCAATTGGTTAATCATTCAAAATCAAAATATGTAAAATGTTAATGTCTAATGTCTTTTTGAGGTGTGTGTGTGTGTGTGTGTGTTTATATATATCTGGATATATATAACATTACATATATGTATATAACTCATACACAATGTATGAGTTATATACATATTAAATATAATTACACTGTTAGAAATGTTCTTAATTTCATTACATTTTAAGTTACACAATTTGAAATTAATTTCATATGACATTATATCAAATTTAATGTATTTATAATTAAAAATATGTACTTGTTACGTCCTGAGCACGAGACTTTTGCGGTCACGAGACGCGGCATAACTCTCTCTTAATTACATTTTGAAGAAAGTGTTCTGCATTTGTAATGTTTACTTAATTAAATTCATGATAAATTCGAAATAAGTTTGAGATCCGCAGATTAGTTATATCTACTGAAGATGCAAACATATATTTAGGGAAGGTTAAAATATAATATTTCTAAAAAAAGACTATGCACCGATGTCGATATATATATTAGTAGTATATATCAATAGATTCTTCATTTAAAGATATTTTTAAGTAAAATCAATAAAAAAAGAGTTTTTTGAGTGACAAAACAATGTCATCTTTAGAGCATAAAATCGCTCCCCGCTCTTCAATTGATATTCTCTAAATTTATTAATTTATTTTTTACGTACCTATAATATACGTATTGTATATCAAATCAGGATTTAACACTTCGCGAAGTTCCTTTGGGAGTAACGGCCATTCGAACTTGCCTCCAAATTGCTGTTGAGCCAATCATATTGCTATGTAAAGTCCACGATGCCCTCGATATCAGCAGATCAGCTGACTAGTCGTCAGCTGCTGCTTAGTCGAAGCATGTTTATCGAAAGTCACTGAATAAATATTTATGTCAAAACACTCATTAGAACTTTCAATCGCTCGGTGCGAACACGGCTTAAGACACAGCCGATAAGAGGATTTTTTAACGAGATTAACAAAGTCAGTGTTTCGTCGCTATCATCAGTCATTAGTCAACATGACGAGCCACATGCAGAGATTATTGTTGAGAGCCGGTCGTTTGTATCGCGTAAATTCCACGAGGCGTATCCTTTGGAAACCCGTTGTGGACTTTAGGACTCTTCGTTAGATCATGTGATCGTATATCAGAATTTGTCATATTCGTCCTTAAATATTGATCAGAGATTTCTGCCTCCGCCACGCTCCGAGCGAGACGTAAGTCAAATTAATTTTAAATCATATCTCTAATCATCAAACAAATAAAACACATAGCCTAGTCTTTTAATCGCGACATGATTCGTACTGTATGATGATCTACAGTCTTGA